GACCCCGAACACCTGGATCTCCATGGCAATGACCCAAAACTCACTGATCTCCATGGAAACGACCCCAAACACCTGGATCTCCATGGAATCGACCCCAAACACCTGGATCTCCATGGCAACGACCCCAAACCCCTTGATCTCCATGGAAACATCTCCAAACCCCTCGATCTCCATGGCAACGACCCCGAACCCCTCGATCTCCATGGAAACAACCCCAAACCTGTTGATCTCCATGGAAACCACCCCAAAAACCTCAATATCCACGACAACCACCCCGAATGTGTTGATCTCCATGGAAACCACCCCGAACCCCTCGATCTCCATGGAAACCACCCCGAACCCCTCGATCTCCATGGAAACGACCCCGAACCCCTCGATCTCCACGGAAACCACCCCGAACCCCTCGATCTCCATGGAAACCACCCCGAACCCCTCGATCTCCATGGAAACCAGAAACAACCCCAAGCCCCTCGATCTCCATGGAAACGACCCCGACCCCCTCGATCTCCACGGAAACCACCCCGAACCCCTCGATCTCCATGGCAACGCCCCCGAACCCCTCGATCTCCATGGAAACCCCCCCGAACCCCTCGATCTCCACGACAACCCCCCAAACCCCCCCCCTCCCCACCTGTTCCACCCCCTGGGCCCCGCCCTCCGCCGCCGCCGCCGCCGCAGCCTCGCCCCCCGCGCCTGCAAGGAAACCTTCTCGGTGTTCTACCACGAGTCGGACGCCGACACCGCCACGGCCACCTCGCCGCCCTGGATGGAGAACCCCTACGTCAAGGCGCCGCAGCCTCGCCCCCCGCGCCTGCAAGGAAACCTTCTCGGTGTTCTACCACGAGTCGGACGCCGACACCGCCACGGCCACCTCGCCGCCCTGGATGGAGAACCCCTACGTCAAGGTGGACACGGTGGCGGCCGAGCACCTGGCCCGGTGGCCGGGCAGCGGCCAGGCCGGGGCGCGGGGCCGCGTCAACCGCAAGGTGCTGCGGCTGGGCCCGCTGAGCCGCGCCGGCTTCTACCTGGCCTTCCAGGACCTGGGCGCCTGCATGGCGCTGCTCTCGGTGCGCCTCTTCTTCCGCCGCTGCCCCGCCGCCACCGCGCGCCTCGCCCGCTTCCCCGCCACCGTGCCCGCCGAGCTGGTGGCGCCCGTAATCATGCAC